AAACATTGACCACATGAGTTCATTCGTTGAGTCAATGGAATGACAACAATCAAAAGAAAGCACCTAGTAAGATTTCCTTGGTTCCAAGACTTTAGAATCATGTGTTTAAATAACCAACCACCAACTACCAAAGAGACCAACCTAACTTCGCAACTTCGCAACTTCAGGACAACCCAATTAATGAGCAATAAAAGAAAGACCTTTAGAAAACCAAAGTTCCAAAATTAGTGAAAGAGATGAGTAAAAGAAGAAAACCTAGCAATGTCGAAGAGTTATTGACCAATCATAAACAAAATCTAACCAGAGATATCTAATCTATCAAATTCAAATTCAACTCCATCAAAGCAAGCAAGATCCATACTTATTCTTTTCACTGTCTAACATTCTATTCTTTTTCTTCTTCAAACCTCACTAAGCTATGATTCAACAAGATTCACGAACTAGAGCCCAGATTTTGAATTTTCTCAGATACAAAAGCAGATCCTACTATATACATAGTCAAAAGAGCAGATCTAAAAACGAGTAAGAAGAGAAATTGCTTACTCTTGCCATGCGGAGAGAAGAAAGACGGAAACAAACAGAGCTCTACCAAGAAAAGACGCTAACTCCATTGAAGCTTTTATTTTTCTTCTCCCGAATCAAACGCAGAGACCAAAAGAGAGAGAGAGAAGTCAGATTTGGGTCTTTAAATCGACAGACATAAACAAAGGAGGAGAAAGAAAACGAAGAGGCCGATTTTGAAATATTTAGAAATTTTTGGGGTCAAAAAGGTGATATATTTATTTCGTCGACCTACTCGCGCGAGTACAATAATGGGGTTTTTTGTACTCGCTACTTCGTTGGGAAGTAAACGCCACGTAGGATGCTTTACACGTTGCCTGGCCAATGGCGTTCGTCCGAGTCATTTGAGTATTTATGTAAGCCGGCAATTAATAAAACGCGACTCATTTACTACGGTAAGACGGGACACAACTTCTTTTTTTGTACGAGAATAATTGTAATATGTTAAAAAAAAAAAGTATTTTGTTATAAATAAATGCTTTTTTTACTGAGTATAACTTTTTGGATGTAAAAAAAGAGGTATTATATTGTTATAAATAAATACTTAACAGATTTCATTGATTGAAATTTTTGAGAATCACATCTCGCTTGTTTTGCTATACTACTGTATATGCACCTAATTTGCTAGATTACATGTGTGCATAAAATTAAAATTACAAAGGTTTAAAATGTTCACCAATGTGAGTAGAGGTGTCAAACGGGCCGGCCCGCGTCCATTTGGGCCGGCCCGCGATGGGCATTTAAATTTATGAGATCGCGGCGGGCCGGCCCGCTAGGACCGCGGTCAAAAATAATATGTCCAGGCCCGCCCCGCTAAGCCCAACGGATTAGCGGGCCGGCCCGCGGGCTTAGTTTTAAATATTTTAAAAATAATTAAAAAAATAAAATTACTTTTTAAAATTTGAAATTAACAATTTTTCAATAAAAAAAACTTTTAGAATTAATTTTTTTGTAAATCTTATAATTTTATACATTAAATTTTGTTATATGTTCATATATTTCACATATATATTTTTAGAATTATGTAAAAATATTTATTTATTTATATTAATTATTTATTTTTATTAAATATTTGTAGTCCGCGGGCCGGCTCGCAAATCCGCAGA